TGTGTGCGTGCGTGCGTGCGTGTGCGTGTGTGTGTGTGTTTGTGTGCGTGCGTGTGCCTGTGTGTGTGTGTGTGTGTGCGTGTGTGTGTGTGCAGAGGGACGGTGAGGAGAAACACTCGGTGCTGAAGGAGCAGCTGAAGGCGTGGCAGCGTCTCCGTCATGATCTGGAGAGAGCCAGACTGCTGGTGGAGCTGATCCGCAAGAGGGAGAAGCTAAAGAGAGAGACGGTCAGACACTCACATAAACACACACACACTCACACACACAATAATTTGTCAGGAATATTGCAGCGTTTCTTATTAAATGCAGATGAGTATTCTGCTTAAAGTGATGCGTCTCATAATCCTGAATCAAAACAACAACATCTCTTATCCGATTGGTGTTTACTGGTGTAAGGGGTGGGGTCAGCCGCCTGTTTACTCACATCAGATCCTCCAATAGCAAACCATCCAATCACTTCCAAACCCAATACATGTAAACACGATGCAACACAAGCCCCGCCCACATTATTCCCCATCCAGAGGAGGAGCCACTGCTGCTGGATGAAGAGCTTCAGACACACTGACTTGCTGTTAATCTGAGTGTGTGTGTGTGTGTGGGGGGTGTGTGCGTGCAGATTAAGGTGCAGGAGATGGCGATGGAGATGCAGCTCACTCCACTGCTGGTGTTGCTGCGCAGAACACTGGAGCAGCTGCAGGAGAGAGACACCAACAACTTCTTCACTGAGCCCGTACCGCTGAGCGAGGTACACACACACACACACACACACACTGATACACACACACTGATACATACACATGCACACACTGATACACATACACAATCATACACACTCACTCACATTCTTTCATTCATACAATTTACTCACTCACACACACACACACACACACACACAAACCCATGCGCACAGACATGACCACACAGATGCATACACACACTGATTCACAAACATACAGAGACTCATGTGCACAGACACACACACGCCCACATACAAACATTTGTACACATTTACTTATATATACTCATATAACATATAAACACACGCAGATGCATACATACAATGATACACACACACACACTTACTCACTCATGTGCACAGACATGGTCGCACACACACACATTCGTACACATTTAATTATATACACACACACTCATGTACACATGCACACACACACACACACACACACATACTCACTATTGCACGGACAGGCACACACACATACATTTGTACACATTCACTCATGTACACACACACACACACACACACACACATACTCACTATTGCACGGACAGGCACACACACATACATTTGTACACATTCACTCATGTACACACACACACACACACACACACACACACAGATGCTTACATAAACTGATACATACACACACTCATGCTCACATGCCTACGCACCTTCATATGCACAGACACACGCAAACAAACACACACAAACTGATGCACACACGCTTACACAAACACACACTCATGCACATTAACACATGCACAAACACACTAC